CAACAGTAACAAAAACAGCATGGCACTGGCACAAACCAGACACGTATACCAAGGAACAGAACAAAGAACCCAGAAATAAGTCCTATAAGCACTGTTTTCAACAAAGGTGCAAAAACTTACACTGGGAAAAAATACAGCCTTTTTCAACAAATGGTGCTGAGAAAACTGGGTATTTGTATGCAGAAGAATGAAATTAGATCCATATCTCTCACTCTTCACAAATATCAGTTCCAAATGGATCAAGGACTTAACTATAAACCCTAATTACTGTAGCTGCTAGAGAAAACACATCAAGATTCAGGCATAAGCAAAAGGATAGTGGTAGTACAGTGAATAACCCAAGAATCTATACATGGCAAATTAAAAAGGTTTGCACAGCAAAGAAACTAGCAGTGTAGTGAAAAGACAGCATACATAATAAGGGAGAAACTTCACAGCTGTATACTTCTTTGACAGATATACAAACTGCAATGGTTAAACACCACAAACCCACAAATCTTTGAATCAATAAATAGGCTACTAGACATGTCTCAAAAGAAGAAACAAAGTGAACAATAAATAGTTTTTAAAGGTGTTCAACATCTTTAGCCATTAGGAAAATGCTAAGTAAAACTACATTGTGATTCTATTTCATTCCTACCAGAATGGCTAATGTCACAAAAGCAAGTGACAATGAGTACTCACAAGGATGTGGGTAAAGAGGAGCCTGGATTCACTATTAGTGGAAATATAGATGGATGCAACCACTGTGGAAATCAATATGGATGTTTCTCAAAAAAATTTTTTTAGAAAGAACAACCAGTATGTGAGGTGGTGCATGGCTTTAATCCCAGCACTGGGGAGGCAGAATCAGGCAGACATCTATGAATTTGAAGCCAGTCTGGTCTACAGAGTGAGTTCCACGCCAGCCAGCACTCCATAGTGAGACCCTGTCTGGAAACAAACAAACAAACAACAACAACAAAACCAACAACCATGTGAGCCAGTGATATCACTCAACAACCATGTGAGCTAGTGATATCACTCCTAGGTATATAACTAAAGGATTCAGAGACAACATCTCAGAGATTCTTGCACCTCCATACTTACACCTTCACTGTTCACCGTGGCTAGGAAGTGGAGCTGGCCTAGGTGGTCATTGACAAGTGAATGGACTAAGTAAATGTGGTACATATATATATACACAATGGAATTTTATTCAACTATCAAGAAAAATAAAATTATAACATTTTCAAGAAAACGTGTAAGGTTGTGAATTGTTATGCTAAACAAAGCAACCCAGACTATTGTTTCTTTTCCTCTATAGAACCATGACCATATACTTTGAATGCTACTTTTAAAAATAAAATAATTATTTTTTGAAAAACTTCAGGAATTTCTGCTTCCCTCAGCTAGCATTTTTCCCCACTGGGTTCTTTTTTTTATTCATTTAAATTAGAAAAAGTTTGTTTTACATGTTAATCCAAGTTCCCTCTCCCTTCCCTCCATTCCTGCCCCATACTGACCTCCTCTCCCATTCCCTTTCTGCTCCCCAGCGGATGAGGCCTTCCGTGGGGATCTTCACAGTCTGTCATATCATTTGGAGTAGGGCCTAAACCCTCCCTCATGTGTCTAGGCTGAGAGAGCAACCCTCTATGTGTAGTGGGCTCCCAAAGTCCATTTGTGTACTAGGGATAAATACTGGTCCACTACAAGAGGTCCCATAGATTGCCCAGACCGCCAAATCAACATCCAGTTTCAGGGGGGCTGGGTCAGTCCTATGCTGGTTTCCCAGTTATCAGTCTGGGGTCCATGAGCTCCCCCTTGTTCAGGTCAGATGTTTCTGTGGGTTTCTCCAACGTGGTCTTGACCCCTTTGCTCATCACTCCCCCTCTCTGCAACTTGATTCCAGGAGTTCTGCTCAGTGTTTAGCTTTGGGTGTCTGCTTCTGCTTCCATCAATTACTGAATGAAGGCTCTAGAATGGCATATAAGGTAGTCATGAATCTCATTATCATAGAAGGACATTTAAGGTAGCCTGTACACTATTGCTTAGATTGCCAGTTGGTGTCATCCTTGTAGATCTCTGGAGATCTCCCTAGTGCCAAGTTTCTGTTTAAACCTATAATGGCTCCCTCTATTATGATATCTCTTTTCTTGCTCTCCTCTATTCACCCCCAACTCAATCTTCCTGCTCCCTCATGTCCTTTCCCCTCCTCTTCTCTCCTTCTCTTTCTCCTAACCCCCCCCCCCCCGCACAAACTCCCAATTAGCTCAGGAGATCTTGTGCCCTTTTCCTTCTCCCCCAGCTAGCATTTTGACTATAAGATTTCTTTTCAAGTGATTCTCCTTCACCCAGCACCAGTGAGCAGGCTGGGAAGTGCAGGGGCCCTTCTCCAGTATCTGCTTGCTGTGTGAGTCAAAGACCTCCCTTCTTTAACATTTAGCCAGTGCCAGACTGTGAGCCTCTGCAGTTTGGCGAGCCTTTTCTTTTCCTCTTTTGCTTACAGCATTGCTAGGGATGGGGGCCACTCTGTCCCTCCCTACTGTAACACCCATTTCCTTAACAAATCTAAAGTTTTGTCCAGATCTAAATGTAAATTTTCACCTAAATCTTTGTGGACCTATTCAACCATGACATAAATTTGTATCAAAATTGGTAGTTCTCTCTATTCACAAAAGTAACTAAATGCAGGCTCTACTCTGAAAGCAGTAGAAAACCAAAACATTTTTCAAATGCATAGGAAATGTAGATTTGTGTGGAAAAGAGGTTTTGTTCTAAGACATACAGCAGTCAAAGAGGAATAAAAATATTCCACTGAGCATAATATTATAGGGCACACTTGGGAAGAAAACTAAAGAAGATTTTGGATGTCGCTTACCTGTAGTGATATTTTGTTTGTAAGCTAACAAAGCTTGCCTGAAGATCAGAGTATAGAGCTAAGCCACTAGTTAGACTCACTGAACCACTAGATGGCCACACACCTAAGCCACTAGTTAGCCATATAGGTCAGGCAGTGGTGGTCACACCTTTAATCCCAGCACTCAGGAGACAGAGTCAGATGGATCTCTGTGAGTTCAAGGCCACCCTGGGATACACGAGAGTGAATCAGTCTAAAAGAGAAACAAAGATCACACCTTCAATACCAGCACTAGAGAAGAATATAAGGTAGGAGCTCAGTGCAGTCTCAGGGCAGTCTGAGGTTTTGGTGGAAAGCACTGCAATTACTCTGAGGACAGGATCATTCCCCCCTCCCCCTTTGGTCTTGTTCTTGGTAGAGGTGAGAACTCTCTAGTGACTTGGCTGCTTTGCTTTTCTGATCTTTGGCCTGGACCCCAATATCTGTCTCTGGTTTTTTTTTTTTTTTTATTTGTGCTACACTTACCCATCAATTACTGGGAAAGGATTCTATTCTGAAAACTTCAAATTAAGTTTTTCTCAACTTTGTATCATTAAAATTATTTCACACAGGGCTGGCCAGATGGCTCAGCAGGAAAAGAGCATGAATAAAACTCCGGGCCCTAAAAATGTAGCCACTACTATTACCATACAATAGCTTCTCTGAGAGGTAATGTTAGTTGCTTCAAGTTGCTGAGACAAACTGGTTAGTTTATGGAAATGAGCATAGCAGTTATGGATACAAATATGTGTATTATATAGAAAGAATTATAAGGTTCCATAATCCATTTAAATGCAGCTTAAGAATTTTCAGTCACAATGACAAACCCCGAATAGGTAATTTCCAAATGTCTGCATAGATTGTGGCACTTATAGTAACATCACCTTTAAGATATATATGACGATCGTTAGCTGGTGTCACCTTTGTAGATCTCCAGACATTTCCCTAGTGCCTGATTTCTCTGTAAACCAAAAATATTTCCCTCTATTATGTTATCTCCATTCTTGTTATCATCTATTCTTCCTCTGACTCACCCTTTCTGCTCCCTCATGACCTCTGCATCCCTCCTCTTCTCCCCTTCTCATTCTCATAGCTCCCTCCCCCCTCTTCCCATTCTCCCAATTTGCTCAGCAGATCTTGACCCTCTCCCCTTCTCTAGGGGACTATGTATGTTTCTCTTAGGGTCCTCCTTGTTTTTTAGCTTCTTTGGCAGTGTGGGTTGTAGGCTGGTAATCCTTTGCTCTATGTCTAAAATCTGCATATGAGTGAGTACATACCATGTTTGTCTTTTTGCGATTGGGTTACCTTGCTCAGAATGGTTTCTTCTAGATCCATCCATTTTCCTGCAAATTTCAAGA